AGTTTGGAAGACGATCTACATTGGGTGCATCGCATTTCTATATTTCTCGTTAGAGTTAACGGAACCTTTTGATAATGTCAGCAGATTTTGGTTCTCTGCTAATAATCTAGCCTCTGGTGGTTTTACGTATTTTGCAACAGGAATTATGTGATCAAAATTTGCGAAAATTTTTTGCTTCACGGAACTTCTTTGTACCGTACTTGAGGCGATGATGGAATTTGCCTTACTGTTTTGAGTATGATTTGATTTTTTATACGGTGCTGCTCGCGTTCCCCGATTTTCTTTTCGTGATTTTCCATTTCGTACTGGACCGAAAGAATTTTTCATATTGCATACACTTGGGATGGGCGCTTTAGTATCTTGTATGGCTTTCGAATAAACATCCTTTTTTGATGTTTTTCGGGGTATAATGGATATTTTACTATCTGGATCAAATAAGTTTGGCTCGTTCGCATGAATCACTGAAGGTGTTGATTTCTTCATCATTCTTGTGTGATTTTTACATTGTGTATTGAGTTGAACTGTTTTCGCTTTCTTATGTTCTAGGTCGAACGGTTTTGAATCGTCATCAAATAAATCTGGCATTGAAGGTGCTATTATTACTTCCTTACCATTAGTTTTTTTCCTTAAGCAGTCATCATACTTCGATGTCCGTTTGATTTTTTTATCTTCGCGTTTCATGTCCTTCGAACCATCAGGCTGTTTCAATACTATTTGGTTTGTTTCCGGGTTCCTGCTTTCTATTGATTTGTGGTCATACAAATTGATGGAACTACTCTTCTTCTCTAACATTGAATCTGACAATATTTTTACTGATTTTATTTCCTTTTGTTTGTCTTTACTAGAATGCGTAGTATTTAGCCGCTTATTCTCCTGCGATATTTCTTTTGTAGTTTTCGGCTTCACATTCTGTTTTTCTGATGCTTCTTGTTCTTTTGTATTACATGCATTCAATATATCCGATATTAAAAGTGATGACTGTTCATTTGATGGTAACATTAGGCCATGTTCTTCAAGTGTTCTTTTCGGTATCGCAGACAGTTTGCCATTACTCAGAACACCATACCGATTGTCTGATTTGTGAGCTATTCTTCTCTTTA